TTCTCTCTATCACTTGAATTATCACAGCAACGGGACCACAGTGCTTAGCAAAGCGTCAGAGGAGGCGTCCCAACCTACACGTTTTCGCGCCAGCTTGATTCCATCTATGGTTACTCGCTCCGTAGGGACAACGGCTGTTGGGATCGAGCTGGGGCCGCGCCAAAAGCGATCGCCTTTGTTAACTCCGAAAATACAGCAAATCCTCCTGCTTGGTTACATTTTGGACTTTTCAGGTATCGCTGTACAAACCGGAAACCGCTGAAGCTGGCCACAATCCTACGCTATTGATATCAAACGCTGCCAAGGTCAGTAATGTGCTTGGCTGATTATTTCTACTAGGCCCATATATTGATCATTCATCGAGTGTTCTCTCAGAACGATGCTGCTCGACTCGGCTACATTCCTCCTCCGCCAAAACCGGTCCTCGAATTCGCATCGTTGCCACCTGAGTACAATAACACCCAAAACTACCCAGGCTATCGTCCGGTATATGATTAACCGATTATTTTTTCAATTTTTTAAGGGAGTTATGTTGAATGAGAAAAGATCTTTTTCGTTGGCCCGCCCTTTCTCTTCGCAATTTAAGAAAGAACGAGCCAGTGGGGCCGGCGCGAAACATCTCCGTCTCCGCCCACACGGTCATCTGAGAACAAAAAGAACCCTTTAGTCTAAACACAGAAGATGGTCTTCATCACCCGATGCTCGGCCTTCCCAGAGAGAAGATTTCAGATGCTCAACGGGTACGGATAACAAGTAACTACTCAACCCCGCATGGTCGTGTAACGGACCCATGATTATTACTAATTCCACACTTATGAACAGCTATTGGGACCAACAAATATGAGTTCACTAGGGAGTGGGACGCAGATGAGATCTAAGGGGTACTGGAGCAACTTTTCCGAGTAATTGAACTTGTAAAGAGCTAAAGGTAAAGAGAAGAGGTGGCCGATGGCGAGAGAAAATCAGTACGCTTAACACTATCTAAGTGACAGGCCGTGGAACGTGTCTTCAGTTTTCCAGTTCAGGGCGATGAAGTGTAATTTTTTAGGAAGCTCCTGTAACCCAACCAACGACTGTGGAACCATTCCACCTCGAGGTTTGTGCTACCGTTTATTCAAATCCCCATTGATTTCTGATACTGCAGTACATCCAACATTTCCAGAGCCGATCTACTTATGACTTTTTTAATTTTCCGAAGGTCTATTTTGAAAAGAGGCTCACTTTAGTTCAAATTGTGGTTATAATGGATTCAGGTGCCAACGAAAGGTCCACATGTGTTCATGCCACCACAAAACTTCCCTGCTCCATCTTCTCCAACAACTGCCCCTCGCGTGGTGCAGACGACAAGTGTCAGTTTGCACCTAGTAAATTAGGGTCGTTTTCTGACGAAATCGGTTGAATCACCTGTTTTTAACAATCCCATGTTTTTCAGCAGCCTAGCTACTCTCCTACGGCAAAAACCATACCAACGGAAGCTCCACCTGAATTGCCTTCTTCAACAACAGCCCGTTACTACAGCTCGGAGGTGCGAATTACACTCTCATCTCGTTTAATACAGTTCAGGCCATTTGGGCAAACATTCAAGTGGATTTTTTGCTGCAGCTGCAAAATTTTGGAAACAGCTCTGGGAGCCAGCCAATTTTTTTTCTTTTGGTAAGCGCGAAGACTGTATCATAGTGGTACTCCACCAGCCGTTGTCGCTTACTTGCTTCAACAGCTGGTGGAGACGGGCTGGCAGCGTGCCTAAACGCAGCCGAACTGACACGCCCCATCATCTGCAGCGAACACGACTAAGTTATCGTTTTGTTCCAGCGCTCATTCGACCAATGTTGAACTTCGTATAATTCAGGGCACAACGCATGGCACCAGCTGTATACGCATCCTGCCTATTGGAAACTACCATCCACAAACGGCATACCGCGGGGGGGAAGTGTCTACCGAAAGCCCACACACTACTCGTACAGTATCCACAGAAGTTCCAGGCCCCTACGAGACAACCCTACCTCCATGGTCACCCACCTATAAAACTGTGCCAACCAGGGCACTGACCACAGTGGGAACAACCCCTTCACGTGTATCGTTTGAATCTCCAACGACTCCATCAACGCCTACTTATGTTTCTGTAGAAACGCCACCACAGTTCACGAGGCCTTCCATTTCAACGGCTAACGTTCAGCAACCGACAACGCCGTTGTCGTCTCATCAAGAGGAGTTCACTCCATCTCACGGTTTCACGCCTTTTGAAGAATCATTAACAACACCTCCCAGAGTCCCATCGGAAGTTCCGACTTCTCCCTCAAGAGAAGTGCCAACGACGCCTTCTAGGGAAGTCACATCGACGCGTCCTGGAATACCTCCAATTCCACCTCAAGGAGAGATACCAGGGACTTCCACGGAATCCTCTTCTGGTAGGCCACCAACAACACTCTTCGGTGAATCATCTCCGACGCCATCCAGGGAAACCTCAACATCTCCCTTCGAACAGTCGAATACGACACCCAGAGAATACCAGCCGTCTTACTCTGGAGGAACGCCAACAGCACCTTCTCAGGAGTTCACAGTGACTCCAACTCGAGGATCATCGACCCCTTCTGAGCAGTTCACTCCGTTCCAGCCCTCCAGAGAAATTCCACCAAGGTACGTTAGTGTTCTTCATTC